GGTGTAAACTGTCTCTGCTGTAAACTCTTTCTGGTGTAAACCTTTGTTGGCCTTGTCTGGTGTAAACGACGTCTGGTGTAAACCGTGTCTGGTGTATAGACGGTGTCTGGTGTAATCGATGTCTGGTGTAAACTCTTCTCTGGTGTAAACCTTTGTCGGCTTTTTCTGGTGTAAACTTTTCCATGGTTACTTCGTCTGGCGTAAACAACGTGTGGTGTAAACCGTGCCTGGCGACATGCACCATCATCATCATTATCATCATCATCATCATCATCATCACCTTCATCATCATCATCAGCATCATCATCATCATCATCATCATCCTTATCATCCACATCATCATCATCATCATTATCATCATCATCGTCGTCAGCGCCATCATCATCATCATCATCATCATTACCAGCAGCTACGTCATTGCAATCGTCATCGACCTCATCGTTAGCTCATGATCACAATAGCATATCACGGGCGTATCGTGAGATCATCATCTCATGGCACATCATATTTTCATATTTGATGTCATGTCATATTTTCTTTCACGGCATGAGAGTTACATGTGTTTCAGGTTGTGTTGTATTTGTATACTTGGCTTGAAATAGACCCAGCTGACTCGATGTGTTATTGTAGCTGATTGGAGTTGTCCGAAACCCATCCGAAGTAAGTGTCTTTACTTCCCTCGGACATGGATATGCAGACTGTAATGTATGCATCTTGTCTTTGTGCTATCCAACTGCTCTGAGGCTTGCCAGGCTGATCGATGTACTCAAATGCCTTGCTGGAGCCTGCATGATGCCTGTGGGCGAGGTGGGGTTGCGTCAAAACACAGATTGTCGTGGAACTCACGCATGCAAGTTTTGTCGTCGTGTTTTGTACTTGTCTTTGTGGCTGGAATTGCTTGTGCCTCCATGACTGTTGTGATATTTAAGTCGTATAGATAGTTATGTATGTGGCGATGCTGTCTGGACACACGCTGTGCCATCGCAGGGACGGCATTGCTCTCATGGTTGCAAGTTATCCGCAGCTTTGAAGACGAATTATTAGATCGTCCATTCCCTGCTTTGCGTCATGACAGACCTCCTACCGTGGAATTCCGAGGTTCGGAGCTGGGTAAATGCATGTGAACGGAAAATTCAAACGGCATACTCTCGCCTGCCATGGAAGCCGCTGGACTGGAAGACACACAGTCATGACTACAATTTTGGAGATATCACTGCCTGGCCACTGGATGCCAGCTGCATTACCTTGGGAGGGGATGCCATCTTCCTCGGTAGTGTCACAGCGGCTGTCAACATTGAAGCGGTGGAGGTGGAGTACACGACAAAGATCTCCCATGTCGTGACCCTGTGTGGGAACGAGATCCAGGTGCGCGGCGCGCCGTCAGATTTGCCCACCTATTTTGAACGTTGTGGCGTCGCTCATATCTGGTGGTTCATCGAGGATCCCACAGTCAAAGACCCAAATACAGAGCTGGCGAAGCATCGTCAGTCTGCCG